CTACACAAACAGCATCACCAGCAACGACAAAGCTCTCATAATTCATACTTTTAGCATTCTTATTTCGTCTCTTCAGAAGAAATGAAAGACCTCAGCATTAATTTAATGCACGCAAAAAATCCAACATTTTTTTTGGAAAGTGGATGGAAAAAGTGCAACACGTATGAACAAGATGCCGGCAAAGAAGTGACTGGAGGGAAAAGTTTTTACAGAGGGAAGATCGAAAGGGTAAAAATGTTTAAGGATATATTTTACAGGTTGGAGAGCAGAAAAGGAGGTGCATGAACTAATACAACATCAACAACAACAACAGCAGCAACAACAAAAACAACAACAGCAACAACATCAACAACATCAACAACAACAACAACAACAGAAACAACATCTACAACAACATCAACAACAACAAAAGCAACAACATCTACAACAACATCAACAACAACAACATCGACAACAACACTATAATCACTGTCACCCCCATCATCAACAACAACAACAACAAAAATATCAACAACAGCATTATTGTCATCTTCATCAACAACAACACCAACAATAACAACAAGTTTCACATGAGCTATTACTGCTTGATTGATGGTGTTAACACGCGCAACGTGTAGGCATTCAAATGTTCATAATGTATTAGTATTAGTATTATTATTATTAATGTTGTGGTTGTTGTTGTTGATGTTGTTGTTGTTGATGTTGTTGTTGATGTTGTTGTTGTTGATGTTGTTGTTGTTGTTGATGTTGTTGTTGTTGTTGATATTGTTGTTGATGGCAATAATAACTAACAGAAATAAAAATTATCACTATCATTATGAACATCATCATCGTCGTCGTCGTCATGTTATCATCATCAGCAGCAGCAGCAACAACAACAACACAACTACATCGTCGTCATCATCGTCATCATTATGACCACCATACCATTACTACCAACATCATCATCATCATCTTCGTGTTACCATCATCATCATCATCATCATTATCCTATCACGCCATCATCCTCATCATCGACAACAACAATAGCAGCAAATACAACTTTGTCTTCATCACTATTTCATCAACTTCCTCATCATTATCCCCACTACCACTATCATCAGTATCATCATCATCACTATCATCATCATCACCATCATCCTCAACACCATCATCATCACCAATCATGCATCACCACCGGCACATCACCTTTCAAAATGCCTCCATATCAAATTAAACATATTGCAACAATGCGTCAAAGCCTTTCTTGCGGTTGGTTGTGATGATGATGGTGGTGATGATGATGATGGTGATGATGGTGGTGATGATGGTGGTGATGATGGTGGTGATGATGATGGTGGTGATGATGATGGTGGTGATGATGGTGGTGATGATGATGGTGGTGATGATGATGGTGGTGATGATTATTATGTTTATATAGGCTATCTTAATCATCATCATCTTTTTCATCTTCATCATCATTATCATCATCATCATGAAGACCAATCTTTATCATCACCAGACCTCTCATCACCATCGTCGTCATTGTTATCGTCAAAAAAATCGTCAACATCATTACCACGACCGTCACAACAATCATCATCTGGCATCATCATCATCATCATCATCATCTGACATCATCATCATCATCGCTGTCCGTCTGTATTGTAATCATCATCATCATCATCATCATCATCACCAACAAAAACATCAACATCACTCTTTTCCTCATTAATAATCATCGTTATTTTTCATCACCATCATCACCATCCTCATTATCATCATCATCACCATCGCCACCACCATCATCATTATCATCATCATCATCACCACCATCATCATCATCATCATGACAACCTTCCTGGATGAAAGTGAAAGTGGAATTCCTGTATTCAGCTGTTTTGAAGATTTTTTGATGGGGGAATAGGATGAATGAAGAGCTGCTGCTACTGCTGCTACTGCTGCTGCTGCTGGGCCACTCCTTCAGTCCATCCGTTTGCTGGTGGGTGATGTCATCTTTCAAAATGCCTGTCATGGTCAACGTGACGTCAATAATGATGATGATAATGGTGACGATGGTGATTATGATGATGGTGACGATACGATGATGGTGTCGATGATGATTATGATGGTGACGGTGATGATGATGAAGACGGTGATGATGGTGATAACAATTTTGATGACGATAGTGATGATGGTTAGGATGATATTCCTGATAATAAATGAAATGATAACGATGATTATTGTTGTGATGATGATAGTGATGAGGATGATGAGAATTATTAAGATGATGAATCCTGTATCTGTATCAACATCCAAGGATTTGTGGAACTCCCCTATTGAATAACTTGAGAAGCGCCAGCCTCACTCGAGCATGTCAAAACAAATTTTTGTTGAATTTCTTTAATTCTACAGGTACGGGTACAGCTAGTGAGTTCCGGTTTTTTGCTGATGAAACAGAAAATCTTCTCTTCCCAAAACGCGTCAAATTGAATTTCGGAAGCACAAAATAACCATCATCGGAGGATCTCGGTGGACGCCGCATGGTCTTCAATCCTGTCACAGATAAAAATACAAACGAGTTCTTGTGTTGACTTAATCGTTGAAATTCCACCAGGAGAAATGTTGGAGTAGGTTCGAGGCAGCATGTTTAATTTGCAAAAGACAAAATGACTGTCTTTAAATCTGCCAAGGAAATGCCTTCAAACTTGTGGAGACAACTATCGGTCGACCTGAATCCTGGCGAGTTGACCATCTCATCAGCTGACAGTTCGGACTTTGATTTCGGACTTTGATTTCGGACTTTGATTTCGGACTTTGATTTTGGACTTTGATTTCGGACTTTGATTTTGGACTTTGATTTCGGACTTTGATTTCGGACTTTGATTTTGGACTTTGATTTCGGACTTTGATTTCGGACTTTGATTTTGGATTTTGGAATGAGTTAAAAACTCTTGAGCTGTGATTGCTGAAGCAAGCGTACGTACATGCATCATTTTTGTTCACCAAGTAATGACGTAAAAATCTTCCATGTCTGTTTTGGTTTATTACACCTTGAAATTGCCAGCCTTCGCTATTTTCCAATGAATGTAAGGATGATGATGATGGTTAGGATGATAATGATCAGGACGGCGATGATGATGTTGATGGTTATGATGATGATAATTATAATTATAATGGTAATAATATGGTATTAATATTATGGTATTATTATTATGGTAATTATTTTATTCTAAGCAGTTCAGAATGAATGAGTCTAATTTGATCGCATGAGAGGTCACCATGTTGCTGACCATTCACCATTTTGTTGCAGAACAACGTTTGCAGAATGATGATAATGAAATTGATGATGATGATGGTGATGATGGTGATGATAATGATAATGATGACGATAGTGATGATGATAATAAAAGTGATGGTGGTGATGATGACAACAATGTTTAAATGGTGGTGTTGATGATGGTGGTGATGATAGTGGAGACATGATCATCATTATCATCGCTCCCACTACCATCATCATCATCATTATCGTTCTTATCATTGTCATCATCATCATCATCACCACGTCATCCATGACTAACCTATAGGAACCTTCTTCACGATATTTGACTTCATTTGACCTTCAACTTGACCCACATTTATCTGGGTCAAGGTCATCAATAAAAGGATCATTGCTCTTTTCTTATTGGCTGTCAGCTGGTTTATATTTGTGGTTGAGTTATACATGCAAATAAAAAGGATAGTACATGCACACATACAACTGATTAGTGCAACACACAAACACAAATAAATAATATAAATATATCTACATATGATATATGTGTATTATACATTATACAGTGTGTGTGGTGTGTGCGTGTGTGTGTGTTTGTGGGCGTGTTTTTTTGTTATATTCACGTGTGTTTTATAAATTTTCAACTTAGCTGATTCACCCCCACTGACAAAAGCTCACAGCTACAGTCATACATGACATACATGATGAGTTATGATTTGATTTACATGAATCTTTTTAATAAAAATCCACAAAATAGCGTAGAAATTTTTTCATGTACTTTGCTCGGCCCAACAAAATATTATGCAAGTTCAGTTAGACCATCTCAAAAGTTGAATTTCTGAACCACATCACTGAAATAGTGACGACACACGTACTGGAAAACTGGGAAGGCCACAGTTGGAAAATATGTTAACATTTTTCCCTCATTCAACTATATTTAAATTTTTTTACAAAAGTTTGTGGGAGTGAAACGTTTTATATACAGTTGTTCATTTGAAGTTGTCGTCGCACCGTTTAGTTATCAAAATTACATTTTAAATTATTCATTCTTGTTTATATATGTATATATATATATAAACTAATAATAATAATAATTAATAATAAAAATATATATAAATATACATAAAAAATTTATATATATATACATGACAAATTTATATATATATATAATATATATATATATATATATATATATATATTGGGTTTAGATTATCATAAATACAATTATTTATAACGAGACGTCTCGTTAGAAGAATCGAGAAACTCAACTACAAGTTGAATAATGCCAAAAACACAGTGATCTTCATAAATAAAATTATTATATATTATATATATATATATACAAATAGATATTATATATATATATATAATATCATTGTATTATTGGTGAAAATCACCGCTTGTTGACAACATTAACTAATTCCATTAAGACATAACCCTTTCTGTTTGTTGCTTCAGTGTATACTGGGGTTTCACATTTATATTCTTTATTAGTATGCCTAGGGATGGTAGTCTATTGGCAGTTTTGTTTTTCAATTGTAAACTTTAATTTTGATGAATGTAGTAGTCGTAGCAGAAGTTTTTCTAATTGGTTGTCTTTGTCGTATGTAACGAATATACCATCGACAATTGGCAGTATATATTGGGCTTTAACTCTGGCTCTTCTTTAAATAACATTTCTTCGATATGTCCAACATAGAAGTTTGCGAAGAGTACTTCCAATGGAGAGCCCATTGCTACAGCGTCTATTTGCTGATGTTACCCGGGCCAATGAAGGGGCTTTGGCTGTATCTATTCTCATTAGCGCAACTAATTCTGTTTTAGGAATTGGTAGTGGTGAATGACTGGAATTGTATATTCCATCTATTATTATGTTAACTCTGTCTTCTACAGTTAAATTTGTGAAAAGTGACTCCACATCCAAAGATTCTATTTTGGTGTTACTGGATGGTTTTGCTGTAGATAGCAGGTCTGTAAATTCTCTACTTGATTTTAGGTTGTAGCCATTAGGGGTGAAGGGTGTAATCATTTGTTGAGCAGTTTTGCATTGGGGCATGTGATCGCAGGTGTTTGGCTATTTATTGGCCGTAGATGACTGTTGGCTTTGCTCGTTTTGACAGCTCCGTAAGCACATCCTGGTTCATATTCACACGTTATTTTCCTTCTGTTTTTTCATAAATTCTTCTAATGGTGTTGTCCTGTCTTAAGCTTAGCAGTCGGATCACTACCGATATACATGCATATACGGAATATTCAAATTAAAATATAAAATTATTCTGCAATTAAAATTTATTTAAGAGTAAAAAAATATTTTGTATACAAGCATCTGAAACATGGAAATGGAAACCCATCCTGTAGAACAATCAAGAGAGAACTGCATGCATGCACCTGGATACACAACTCAACACCACTCCATCCAACGCTCATAAACATCCAACCGAATGAAGAAAACGAATCCCAGAAGTTTTGTTTTAATTAATATTTATATTTTTAATTATACAACTCTATAAAGACACGCGCCGAAAAAAAATTTTTTGTGCAAATAATCTCCCCAGAAAGAAAATAAACATCCATTTAACACGCAAATGCAACAAAAATTCGTTCTTAGAAGTCTGCAGTTAGGAAATATTAATTGAAAAAGAAATAGAACGTGGCATAATCTAAACGTTTGCTGGAAACTTTAATATCCGCTACTGTATGGAATTTGTTTTATGTCTATTCAAATGATATCATGAAGTGGTTTTATATTTATTTTATATCTATTCACATAGCCACCGAGTTAGCTCAGTCAGTAGAAGTGCCATGCCTCGCGCTGCTATTACTCGATGGTGTGGTTCAAGTACTGTCTGTCCGAACCACAAAGACCATTATATCCGTATGATGCGGTGCTTGCAAGTGCGTATAGAATGTGTATGTGCGATGTATGTGTATTTAGAATGTGTACAGTACATGTACATACTCCCTTTGTGGTACGAGAGTTTAATGTTAATTATGAGTATAGATTAATACGTAAAATGTCCTCTGCGTTTGACCGAGTTGCATTATGAAGAATTCGAAAAATATCAGCGGATTTTACCTCATAAAGTTGAAACTGTTTCTAAATTATATTACGCAAGCATTAAATTATTATCAGAAAACGAGTGGATGCAAAAAATAATAGCGCTTTGGAAAATAGGTTTTTGGAAAATTGTGACATCCTTAAAAATGTGAGTAGAGTCCACGTTTACATTGGAAAAACTTCAATCGTAAATTAATTCTAATTTTATTTTGCTGTTTTTATTGTTATTAAAGTAAAAAAAATAATTTTTTAAATACTTTGAACTGCTCAATAAAGGAAAAACAGCGCTCATAGAAGCAAGCGGACCCTTATCATTTCGTTATTGCTGTAACAACTGATGCAGGCAGGCAATCCAATAAGCGTGTCGTCCATTGAGGCGTAGAATGTGACCACTCGTCAATAATTCAATAAAAACAATGACGGACATGTGACGGCTTCAAATTAAATTAAACTGTTCTCTGGCAATTGGACGCCTGGACCTTACAGATGCGTTTGTGTGTGTGTTTGTGTGTGTATTTGTGTGAGTGTGTGGAGTGTGTGTTGTGTAAGGGTTTGTATAGATTGCTTTTATGTTCTACATAGGATTTGATCTTTTCACAACGCGGAGAAATCTTCATTGTTATTATTTACTAACCTACCCCCGTTACTTCAGCATCAAAAAATAGGATAGTCAAGAAAATTAGTTGAAAAAAATAGCAATTTGCCTTGCAGTGTGTAAATAAATTAACATTAAGACGTGGAGAGTGATGCTGCAGTTTGAAGATGCTCCGACCTTCTCTGTAATGGGAACCCTCAGATGACAATAAACTTTATTTTGATTTCCATGACCGATGCATCGGTACAAAAATGAAAATTACTGTTTCCATAGACATTGAAAACGTTCCGTCCAATGGATGGAGCGAGGGAGGTGAGCCAGTGGCGGATCCAGGATTGGGAGCTAGGAAAGTATCATTTTGAGTCGAATACCAAATACCGACCAAAAAATTTCTCACCGGTCAAATAAATAAAAATAAATTAATAAAACAAAACATGGCGTTGTTTCTTTTTGTTGCGTGTTCGTTCCCTTTTTACAGTGCATTAATACGTACTGATACAGTAAAAAAAATTTTGCCATAAACCATCTCCTAAGTCTACATGATAACTTTTCAAAGTTTCATCGTGAACAGATGAGCCGTGTAGAAATATATAAAGATCAGACACGCAGACAGACATACATACAGACAGACATACAGACGGACATACAGACAGAAAGACAGACAGACCGGGAGATAGTCAGACATGCTATGATTTATTTTATTTTTTTACTTTTATTATTCGTATTGTATTTTGTTGTTAATATTTTTATTGTTATTACTCATTCTGTCAAATCACCATGCCTCACAAGCAAGCATATGAAATAAAATACTTCAATTCATCAAATGTTTGGCATATATATATATATACATGCATACATACACACATACATACATACATACACACATACATACATACATACATACATACATACATACATACATACATACATACATACATACATACATACATACATACATACATACATACATACATACATACATACATACATACATACATACATACATACATACATACATACATACATACATACATACATACATACATACATACATACATACATACATGGGGCGTCAAATAATATTTCAGTTAAATTGTCAATGCCATCTGGCTTTAATTTTGTGGATTATTTGAGACCCCACGATCCTCATCATGGTGGTTTGATTGTATTTCATAGATCTCGTTTTCGATGCAAAGAAGTTAGTTTACCACTACTGACTACGTTTGAAGCTATTGCTCTTAGATTCATAATAAATAAAACAGATTTTGTTTTGTTGGCAGTATACAGACCTGGCTCGGCATTGGTTAGTGTTTTGTTTTTTGAAGAACTTGTAAATGTATTAGAAAATATTTCTGTTCTAAGTTCAAATGTTTTGCTAGCGGGTGATTTAAATGTTCATCTTGAAAGAGCTAGTGATCAGAATACCATTCGTTTACTCGAAGTTTTTGAAATGTTTCAATTAACAAATCATTTAAATAAACCGACTCATGATCTTGGTGGTACACTCGATTTAATTGCCAGTTCTAGTGATTTCCAGGCTACAGATTGCAGAGTTTTACCAAGTGGTGTCTACTCTGATCATGGTTTGGTTTTGGTTCAAATACCAATAAAACAATTATGTAACAAGAAAAAGATAAAATTAGTCAGATCTTGGAAGTATATGAATGGTGATGACTTAGTGGAAAAATCTCCTTTATCTAAACCGTGTCAAAGCGACAACATTGATTGTGAATTTAATATTTTTAATGATGTATTGACGAAGATAGTTAATATAATCGCACCACTTCGTTATGTTAAAATTAGGTGTGATCTAATCTGTCCTTGGTTTGATAAGGAATGTTACATTGCAAGAGCAGATTGTCGAAGAAAAGAAAGAAAATATAGAAACTGTTTGCTGCCTGAGCGTCGTGGTGATTGGGTCACAGCTTTGAAGCATAAAACTAAGCTTTTTTCAAAAAAGCGAAATTCTTATTGGAAAAAATTAATCAATGATAATAAAAATAGTCCTAAAAATCTATGGAGCATTGTCAACAGAGTATTATGCAAAAACAATTCGATTTCAATTCAAGAAGCGCCAGATTATAGCTCTGATCAATTTTTAAATTTTTTTAAAGAGAAAATTGATAGAGTTAGACAAGCTACGAACGTTGCAAATTGACCAGCTTTTGATGAAAGTAAATTAAACAGTGATGAATTGTTTTCATTTTTTCCACCTGTAACTGAAACAGAATTAAAAAAGATTATATTTAATTTACCATCAAAGACGTGTCTATTGGATTTGATTCCTACTTATGTTCTTAAGAAGTATTTAGATTTATTTATTACTTTTTTGACAAGTTTTGTCAATTTAAGCTTGACAACTAGTGCGTTTCCTGCTCGTTGTAAGCATGCAATTGTTCTCCCAATTTTGAAAAAAAATAATGCTGATAGTAGTGATCTAAGGAATTACCGACCAGTTTCAAACTTGTGTTTTGTGTCGAAAGTCATCGAACGCGTCGTTGCAAAAAGTTTGTTAAAACACTTAGATAAATATAAATTGATTCCTCTCTACCAGTCTGGATATAGACGTTACCATTCTACAAAATATATCAGAAATTATCAGAAATATATGCTGCTATTGATGAGCAAAATGTTTCTCTGTTGACGTTTTTGGATATGTCTGCGGCATTTGATTGTGTAGATCATGGTATTCTGTTGGAGAGAATGAACAACGATTTTGGGATTTCGGGCACGATGATTGATTGGTTTAAGTCTTATCTTTCTGGAAGAACAGAACAAGTCTCTTATAAAAATAATTTATCAAATATAAAACTGGTCTCCTCCGGTGTACCACAGGGTTCTGTGCTTGGACCTATTTTGTTCTTATTATATACAGCTGATCTTTATGGAGTTATCGAGTCATTTGGTTTTAAATACCATGCTTTCGCAGATGACAATCAGATAATTTTAAGTAGTAAACCTGATACCTTCCATTTTGAAATTAACAAGCTTACCGAATGTTTGAATAAATTGGATGTTTGGATGTCGTGTAATTATCTGAAGTTAAATCAGTGCAAGTCCCAGTTTCTTCCTATAGGCACCTGGCAGCAGTTATCAAGGGTTGGTATTAATTCAGTTATAATAAAAAATGAAAATGTTCAGTTTTGCCATAGGGCTACAAATTTGGGGTGTATTTTTGACACCAAACTAACTATGAATGATCATATAAAAACAATTGTGAAGACATGTTCATTCCAACTGCAAAGATTGAATCGAGTTAAAAAATCATTGAACAAATCAACATTACAGTTATTAATGCACGCGTTCGTCCATTCACGTTTGGACTATTGCAATAGCCTGTTTTATGGTTTACCGAACAGATCGATTGTGATGCTTCAGTCCATCCAGGATAGAGCTGCTAAAATTGTTGCAGGTGGTGCTAAATTTGATCACGTTACGCCAATTTTGAGGAACCTACATTGGCTAACTGTCAATAAAAGGGTAATATATAAAATCTGTATGGTAATGTACAAGGTTTTAAATGGATTTACGCCAGAATATTTGACATGCAAGTTCAATAAGAAGAGATCAAATTTGCGTATTGGCACAAGTCTAAGATCTGATGATGATAATTTGATGGTTGTGCCTGTTTTTCGTTTGCAGATAGGAGCAAGAAATATTGCAGTGTCGGGGGCGGTTGTATAGAATGGTTTGCCACGGTCGTTGAGAGTGTGCAATTCAAGAATTGAAAACTTTAGGAAGAATTTGAAGACTCATTTATTTAATCAATAACTGTGAACTGATTTATTTGTGGTTTATTTTATCTACTTTTTCAGCTATTTCTGTTAATTATAGGATAGCGCTTTTGAAAAATTAACACTATTATTTTTAATAAGCGCTTCATAAATTTTAATGATGATAATAATAATAATACATACATACATACACACATACTCCCATGAATCACCATACAATGCGCACAATACTGTACATTCCAACTTACATAAGCACGTAGACATCAATCATTACTTTCGCATTGTATTTTTGTATGTTTTTTTTAGATTTGATTGTATGTACGAGTTACGACCATAGAACAAACAATACATATGGACAAGGGCTGGCTGCATCCGTGTTTGCAGCCTCCGCTGTATAAACCTTATTTAATAAGATCATTTGTTTGGCGGGATTATCAAACACGTGCTGAGCTCTTCGTCATATTTGACTCCATCCCCTGCACTCCACTCTCTCCATCTTTCCTTTCCTCCTCCATTCTTCTCTTTCACTCTCACTTTTTTTCAATATCTCTATTCTCTTTACTCCCTCTCTTTTACTCCATTCACGTTTTTATTCATTCTTACTTTTCGCGCAGCTTTCGGCGGAGAGATTTTCATTTCGCAGTATATTTTATTCGCTATACCCCTCTCTCTCTATATATATATTATTTCACTCATTTTTTGTTGTATTTATGTTTTTTTTGATTCTCTCTCTCTCTCTCTCTCTCTCTCTCTCTCTCTCTCTCTCTCTCTCTCTCTCTCTCTCTCTCTCTCTCTCTCTCTCTGTTTCTCTTTCTATCTTTCTTCCTCAAGTTTTTCTTTTCCTCTTTCTCTCAGCATTCTTTCTTCTTAATTTACCAAATTTACCATTTTAACAATTTTGTTTTCCTCATTCCTTCCTCCATTGAAATATTTTCAAAAATTTTTTTTTCCCATCATATTTCCATCCATAATTACGTTCCCAGATGAGATCGCCTCATTCTTTCGTAGTTGTTTATTTCGCTGCTTTTATTATTATCAACTGTTTATGATTATTTCAACTATTTTGCAAACAAGCTTAGTATAAAAAATCCAATCTAACTTGTCCCAACCATCACAACATCATTATTATTATTATTATCATCATCATCATCATCCTCCTCCTCATCATAATCATCCTCATCATCATCATCATTATCATCATCAATATAATTAATTTTATTATAATTATTAATATAATTATTTATTTAAATTCTCTTAATTCTGTGGGTGCGACAATATGTCTGCATTGTTTCAAGGATTCCAGGTTCGTTAACAGATACACCTAGCGCTGTACAGCTCTGCATTCAAACTCAAATTTATCACGTACCAGTAATACTAATATTTCTCCGAACTTACTGTCAAACAATAATAATATGTCACCGAATAATTGAAGTAACTTGTTGTTGTGGTGAATCTTGCAAAGGTTGGAAAGGACCAAGAAAGCATCAGAGATCTTGTAAAACGTACAAATCTCTCAAGTATCAACTCATGAGGTTTAGGAAAACGTCGACACCGATCAAGCGTCACTTCAATTCAACACACGTCAGCAACTTCAACAACAACAACAGTTCCGTAACCGCTACCGGAAATTAAATTGCCAAAGTCGTCAGCTCAGTGGTCCGAAGCCAACGCATTTCATTTTTTCAATCAGAATTAAAATGTCTAGACGATGCCACATATGTCGACAGTTTCGCTACCAGGTTTCAAAATATAACCTACAACTATTTTGCCGCCAATTGCGGCGTCATAAAGAAGAAATCAATACCTGACGAACACAAAAATTGCGATTTTCGACATTAAAAATCAAAATTAAAAAACTTG